ATATATATATATATATATATATATGTATGCATGCTGCAATTTGATATGGTTCTAAGACAGATTTGTTGTTTGTTTGTATGCCACGTGAGATTATTCATAAGTTCACTCATCATCAAATGCTATTGCTCTCCCTTGCTAGAAAATCTAGAAAATCTGGATTTGTTCTTTTTGATTGTTTAGTCTTGCATCACCTCTTCTTATTTTTCCTACTTGAATGCAAGGTGGCCACTCCGGAGATGTTGACATTCATGCAAGAGCTAAGAAAGGTGTGTGATTTGAAATTTTCTGAACATAAAGTGCATTTTGTTTATTGGTGACTCTGTTCTCCATCTACTCTGCCACACATAAATCTGTTCTGACATTTTCTGTTGAATTTTGTCTTGTGTGGGTTCAGGTTGTAACAGTGGGAGTTGTTGGGGGTTCTGACCTTTCAAAGATATCGGAGCAACTTGGCAACACAGGTTAGCTATAGGTTTCTGGTACTGTAATGTTGTATACTAGTACGAAGCCACTTTGAGAAATTTGACCTTACAAAGATATTAGTATGGAGCCACTTTGAGAAATTCGGAAACAGAAGGATTTATCTTTTGAATGTCCCTGTTTGTCTGCCGCAGTTACCACAGACTATGATTATGTATTTTCTGAGAACGGTCTTGTGGCTCACAAGGAAGGAAAGCTCATTGGGACTCAGGTACAACACATATACCTCAATCCCTGAAAGAAGCCAATTGCCATGGCAATTGATGGATCTTAGTAGATTTATGTTGATGCTTTGAGTTTTTTAACAGAATACAACTAGTGCTACTATGTTGCGACTTATAAGCAAAGCAGCCATTATAAAAAAAAATTTGTAAGGTCATTTTTTGGTAAAATATATGAAGGAAATTATAGCCATTAACATCTATTGAAAGTTGATCTGGTAAACTTTTTCTTTAGTACAACCCATCTCCACTACACGCACACTCTCACTCTTTTTTAGCAATTTAGTTTTTTTCTCTCTATTATACCATGACGATTTGTGAATTGCTTTCTTTTCAGAGCTTGAAGTCATTCCTTGGGGATGAAAAGCTCAAGGTATGGCCTTATTTCCATTCCTAATCAGTTAAATCATCCTACATATTTGAGGTTGACCATGTTGACTACTTCCTAACATTGTTTTGGGTGGTTACATATTCTTATCCCATGGCATTCTGTACATACCATAACCCAAAAATGTCTAGAAAAATCAAGTTCATCTGTGCATTCATTTCAAGTAAGCTCAGAAGACATGTGAATAAAGGAGATTATACATTTGTTAACTACTTTTGAGATTCAATAAAGTTGCGACTTGTGAGCTTATAAAAAAGGCATTTTATATTAATAAATTCCTTTAATAATGACAGAACGGATGATATTTTGCAGGAGTTTATTAACTTTACACTTCATTATATTGCTGACTTGGATATTCCTATCAAAAGGTTAGTGACATTCAGAAGTTATTATGTATTTAGATTTGTTATATGAAACTGTTGGTTCCTAATTGATATAACAACTTTTAGGGGAACATTTATAGAGTTCCGTAGTGGGATGCTGAATGTGTCACCTATTGGCCGAAACTGTAGCCAAGAAGAAAGAGATGAATTTGAGAGATATGACAAGGTTATGTATTTTGCTTTTTATCATATTCACTAGAATTTTCACTGTCCAGGTTGAAATGTTAGGTGTATAATTTTATCCTAAAAGTTTGCAATTTAAGTTCTCAGGTTCACAATATACGCCCAAAAATGGTTTCTGTACTTCGTGAGAAGTTTGCTCATTTTAACTTAACATTTTCCATTGGAGGACAGATAAGCTTTGATGTAAGTGATGATCTTCATGATGACTTTATTTATGGTCAAGTGATGTGTCAACGGTTCTTAATTTAAACATACTATACAGGTTTTCCCTCAAGGGTGGGACAAAACATACTGCCTGAGATACCTTGATGGTTTTAATGAAATTCACTTCTTTGGTGACAAAACTTACAAGGTTAGTCCATAAGCTTATCATGCAGTACATGTTTGGAGTATCAAATCAACGTCTTGCATATATTCTGTCTCCCTGCATGCATTTTCTATCTCATTATGTATTCTATGTATCGTAGTCTTCATTTGTTAAAACTCACTATTGTCTAGGTCACCAATGACACTTATTTTTATGAAAATCCTTCAGGTGAGTTGGGGTGATACCTTAACACGCAAGTAATTGGCAATTTAATTCTGTTTTATAGACACCGACAAAGTGACATGAGTCCTTCTCCAACCTTTTTAATATTTCAAATTACTCAGCAAAAAGGAAGGCTTTTAGATTTTTATGTTTATTAGAAAATATTTCTTATTGAAACAGTATCACCTCCTAAGCCTAAGCTATTTTCCCTGTGTTTAGGGTGATCCATCACTTTGCAAGACCTTGTTTCATTTATTTTTTTGGTTTCCACTGCTAGATTTCTAGCCTCCGTAGGCGATGTTAGGGTAATAGGCAGAAGGATTGATTAATTTCCTAACTTTTATTTTCACTGTGCAGGGTGGAAATGACCATGAAATCTATGAATCTGAACAGACTATTGGGCACACGGGTTAGTGCTTTAACTTGTATTATCAGTTGTGCAAGGAATATAATTGTTTTAGCGGCATGTGGAAACAATTTGATTTCATTTTCTTTTAAATTAGGAGCCAATTTGTTTTAGATTATTTGACTAGATGCATTGAAAAAAACTACACAACTTTTTGAATTGTTTAGAGAATTTTAAAAAAAAAAATCAGAATATTAAAAAAAAACTATTTTTAACTTTGTTCAAGAATCTGAGAAGAGCATCTTTTCATGAAATCCCAAAATAATAACGTCTCTTTAAACAATCTTCAAGACACTTTTTCTTGAACAGAGCTAAAATTCAGAAACAAGTCAATGTGAGGTAAAAAAAAATGTTGTATGTGTCATCATTATGATTTGATTTGTTTTATTTTTCAGTTACAAGCCCTGAAGATACAGTGAAGCAGTGTAAATCTCTGTTCCTAGAAAATTAAAGAATTTTTGGCAACATACTGTTATTGAGAACTATGGAGGAAGTGTACTCAAATACATGTTTACATTGGACCACAGGCTGCAATTATAATACCTCTTTGTATTTTTATTTTCGGTTCTCATTTTGGATTTAATAATAAGCTTATCGTTCAATTAAATTTGATATTAACTCGATATAATTCGTGAGACTACTCAAATACATGGTCTAATCAATGATCCTGTCACCAAGTGGCATTCTTAAAAAGGGTATAAGGAAGAAGGTATATATGACATTGAGAAATCATCACGATTAAAGAAAGGTTAAAATCACATTCAAATTCAATTCTGCTTTGCCCCATTCAAGAACATTTTGTTTGTTATTATCTGGTTTTTATTCAACGTATTCACCATCATTCGTTTAGTTATAAGGTTCATGCATGTCTAAGCCTCGTTTAAGTCATATAATAAGACCCAAAAAGTGTTGCATGGAATTTCAAGCAAATGCTTCAAATGGTTGAGCACGTATATAATCCAAGAGCTGGGGAGAAAAAGTGTGTTCTAAACTTGGGCAAACTCGCAAATTCATAAACATATGACAAACCAAACAAAGAAATTAGATCAGTTACGGTCATTTGAGTCATAATTTTTTATTAAATTAAAATTTATACTCAAGTTCCGAAACTTTGACTTGTTAAAGTCTTCCGCAAACTTTTCCACATTAATACTCTTGTGAATGCTAAATATTAATGCATTGATTACTGTATAATATCCCACTATGTAATTAGTTTGTAGACATCGATCTGCTAGAAAACTTTTGCATCACATGACGCAACTATATGGAAGATGTTTTACACAATCATCCTTAGCAACATTTTCTTATTATTTAGGATTAAGTAGGGAAGAAACTCAAACTTTCCCCCTTCCAATGTTGAAAAAAAACCCTACCTCAAATTCAAGACTTCCCTAAACAAAAATTGATGGCTCATAATGGTACACACCCTTTCATAATGTTATTCAAAATTGTGCACCCTCTTTGCAGAGATGAGTGTATTTTGGAGAAGCATTGCTATGGTCATTGGACCAACTCCTCCAGGAACTGGTGTAACAGCAGAAGCAACTTTTATGGCTTCTTCATAACAAACATCTCCCACCAGTTTATAACCTCGGGTGCTATTTGGATCCTGTCACACAAATTCAAACATACATTGGTTAAATAATGTTGATATTGAAACTTAAGCATTAAATATGAAATTGATTCCTAAACACAGTACCTACAAACCAAGATAAGAGTCTGGTAGCAATGTAGCATACTATAAACATGACCATGATATAAATCTACTCACCTCTACTGGGTTGATTCCAACATCAATAATGACTGCCCCGGGCTTTATCCAATTTTCCCTCACCATGTTTGGTTGCCCAACGGCAGCAATGATAATATCTGCCTGTCTTGTGACCTCTTCAGGGTTACTGGTTCTGGAATGGACAACACTGACAGTAGCATCTTCCCTCTAGTAACATAAGAGATATATAAAGAAGTAGAAACGTACGTGTTCAAAGCAAAAAAAGAAAGGAGAAAACGGCAACACTGAAATAAAGTTAGCCTTAAATTAAGTTTGGACCAATGTGACATTACTTGCAGCAAGAGAGCCGCCGGCATTCGTACGATATTGCTC